CATAAATACATNCGGTTTATTACTCCAAATATTATTTTTATTGACTAAGAAATGAAGACAGTTTCTCCTGAGTCTAACACTCAGCTGAATAATGGTGGGCGATACCTTACAAAAATGATTCATCAGTTTTACTAAGCTTCCATATATTTGTCATTAAAACTGATAAATGCATCATTCTTCAGTGAAACAGAATGCAGCTTAAACAAAACTTTTTTAAACTTGAAGAAAAGTGCACGGTCAGCAGAGGCAGCAGCTGCAGAACGGACCTCCTGCCGGCAGTTGGAGTTTTGCAGCAGAAAAAAGGTTCTGCACAGTTTCCCTGAGAACAAACTACGTTCTGTGGACACTTTGTATAAAACAGATCAAAGTTTACTCAGAGAGAGGATTAACAAAACTGAACGAGGAGAACATACTGTAAAATACTGATGCTGTGAGTCATAAAATAAAAACTTGACTGCTTTTATTCCCCACAGAGGCGAAAATCTGAATCTTTTTAAGTGTATCTAATATTATACAAATGTTAAATTATTTAGTTTTCATTTAGATGGTAAAATAATCAAATTCAATGCATATTTATTTATTTCAAATGCAAATAAATCTGTGGCTCAGTTTATTTTGGTTCTGCCCCTCATGTTTGCAGATATTAACTGAATAATCTCAGATTTAAATAGTGAATTGAGCCCAAGTCCGGATTTTTACTTCCAGAAGCATCAAATGTTCAATAATCCTCTGGCTCAAACCTACAATCTCCCAGCAGGTTTGATGGATCCTCTGAGCTGAACTGAGGATGAAGAGCTACAGTTTTTAAACCAGCTACAATTCCTTGTTTATTTATTTATTTATGAATATTTTCCCTGTATAAATACACTGAGGTCACTTCAGGTCATTCAGAAATGTTCTCTTTAGAATCTCATCAGACATTTGCTCCATTTTTTGTCTTCCTCGGCTACTTTTAGAGTTTAGCTACTATTCTAAGTTTAACTTTCAGCATGTTACTGCTATTAGCTAATGTTATTATATATAGCTAATGTTGTTGCTAATGTTAGCCAGCTGTTTTGCTAATGTTTGCCAGATTAAAATAACATTTAACTTTTAGTTTGGATTCTCCTTTCAATTAGCATTTAGCTCATTTAGATTTTAACCTCTCATTATTTTTTAAATTTTCTTAGCATTTTCCTAATTTTAATTGGAATTTAGCCACTTTTAACTTTTATTCAGTTCATGTTAGCTCAGTTTCAGCTTAGTCAGTTCAATAATTTATTTAGTTTTCACACATCTGAGCTGAAACAGTTGATTCCTGCAGGGATGTAAATAATCATGAAATCTTCGACAAATAAATGTGAATCAAAAGAATGTTTGTAATGCTGCCCTTCCTTTATTCAAAACCTTTTTAAATGAACTCCTGAGCTGCTGAGACAACAGGATTCAGTCTGACTGAAACGTTTGGTTTGTTCACAGAAAATCATTAATTCAGTTTGACTGTTTTCTGTGAAACAACTTGAGTTCTGTAAGCAATCCCTCATTCATACTGAATGAGCAGAGAGAGCAGCTTTATTTCCCTCTTGGTGTTTTATTATTGGACTTTTTTTTCCATCAGGGATTTTTTTAAAAGTTGCTTCACACGTTTTCAGTCATTCATTAACGCCTGCAGGGACGGAGCTGTGGGTGTCGGAGGTGAAGTTTTGCAGCAGCTGGAGCTTTATTTTCCCGTCATCGGCCACCGATCATTTCACTTATACCTAATAAATTAAAGTCCTGCTGGGAGCTCTGACTTACGGCTGAATTAATGTGAAATGACATCCACCTGTAAATCCACAGAGACTGGGTTTAGTTTTATTTGCAGTATTATCTATGACGCTTCACAAACGACTGCTTGTTGGTTTTATTTCAAGACTTTTTGATGCCATTAGCAGGTAAATGCTTCACTGATCAACAACCAAAACTTTATTAGATAGTTTTGCACAAAACCTCTGTTGGAGTGTAGAGTTGGTTTGAAATTCACAGTTGCAGTAAAATGTCAAATTAGCTGCTATAACACTCTATTATTGCTTTGACTGGTTTCTCCTTTAAAATAAAACTTGACAACTAGGTTTTGATACAAACTTTGGATTAAAATATACGTTACACCAAAATTAATCACAAAACCTAAGAAGGACATAATAGAGTCTGCATAATTACTCTGAACTCTGACAACTGTTATTAATTTGTTATGCTGTTATGGCCTGAGGCCATTTTGTTTTGCATTGAGCTGTGCTTTTATTTGCTGTGACAGCTCTGATTGGCTGGCCTATCCAGGCTCCTCCTGATGCAAACCTCTCATTGGTAATTTGTACTTATGAAGTACCCTCTTTTTGTTTAAATTTTGTTTGTTTATTTTTGGTAAATGGCCACAATAAACCACGTTTCATCTTTAAACCAATTTCCATCTGGTTTTAATATTACCTCCTCTTTTCCTGACTGAGCCGGGTTGTGAGATTAATGGGGGCTCGTCCGGGATTTGAACCCAAGATCTATCGCACCCTAAGCAAGAATCATACTCCTAGATGATGATGATGAAACAGCAGAATGTGATAATAAAAACTGACACCTCAGGGTTTCTGTCCTAAAGAAAAAATATGATCATGACTGTTTGTCCCATAGCAGGCAGGATGCCATTCAGATCCATGCTTTCCAAATGAAGGAAAATATATCAATTAAAAAAAACACCCAGATCAATTTCAGCACATTTTTCCTTGAAAAAACAGAATAAATCAGGATATTTAATATTTGTAAACATGCTCAAAGATGAACAACAAGAAGGAAAACACGAGCTAAAAATTCATTAAAAAACATTTATAGTCTGGATAACTCCAACCTGTTTTTGTCGCCAAACCGGCTCCCAAATTTCGGGTGCAAAAAATACCTTTGTAATGCAATATTTCTCAACACATTGTTTAGGCAATTTATTCTTTTAAATGGAGTGAAGGTGGCAAGTGTCTGTAAACTGATGCGTAATTATTTATTTACCCTTCAGCCCAGTCCAAACAATCTATTGCTCATTTAAGGTGATGGATTAGCCGCACATCTTTTCTCCCTGTTTTGCCTTGATCAAACACATCCATCAGGCAACAATTCTTCCTCTTGACAGGCTAAAACTGTGATCTCTCACTGTGATCAAAACTCTCTCCAACCGTTACCTCTATCTGTCCCCATAAATGACCGGCGAAGTGGCGGTAAATCACAGGCCGGGCAGATTAACTCCAGCTCCTTTAAAAGGACCTCTGAACCTTCCTTCGGCTGACGTATCTGCATGCACTTTATGTCAGGAGGATTGTAGAGCATAACAGCAGCATACACTTCCAGAAAATATGTTCCTATTTTACAATAAATACAGAAGAGATATAAAAAGGGAAGAAAAATCAAATTATTCTTTGTCTAAATTAAGTTTGGAGAAAGATTTAGCTCTTCTGTCATGTGTAGCGTCATTCCTAATTTTAGCTGCAGCCTCAAATAACACAAGTTAGTTGCTAAGATTAGGAAACATGGGAAAAGAAAAAAAAACAGCAATCAAACAAGGGTTGTAAGAAAGGAAAATAAAAGAAAACAAGGTTGAATACTATAATTACCTCCTGAATTATGTGTTGCAACCATCCATCACAGCTTATCGACTGTCTGGGTTTAACTCTAGTCCTCAGTCTCTCAGTAACAAGGGTTATCACAGACGTTTAGTTTCTCACTTTCTAAAGTTGAATAAAATATTTGCCACTTTGGTCACTTTGGTTAAAGGTCACCAGTAAATTTAGCAACTGTCTTTTTAAAAATTGAGCTTTTAATTGGATGAACTTGCAGAAATATGATATTTAGAAGATGAATTTAGTTTTTGCTGTTTCCCAACGTGAGTCATTATTAGATTTAGTCTACCCGGTGTCGAGGTGATTGACAAACTATCTGGAGCTGCAGACCTCGTATTATACGCTGAGCCAGATGAAAGCTTTCAAAAGCCTCAAAGCTACAATTATTTGGTTTCAGGTTGGGTCAAACATTTAGGATCCAAAGAAGCTTTAAATGTCTGTTGACTTGTGTCTACGCAGGTGAGTAGTGAGTTGTGCTATTTTAACAATGCTACCTCTAACACTAACAATGAGTTAACCCCTGTGATTTCTATGTGCTTGGATCTACTTATAAATAATTTATTTAGCTTCTGTAAACCCAAATTCGAGTAACTAAAATAAAATATCTGCAATAGAATTTAAATGATAAGATCCTCACCTGTTAGAAAGTGCTCGCTGCAAACGCTTGCATTGTTTCCACACCTCCTGTTTTTAGCCGTAGATTGTTGACCCACTTTTGTCATTTTTTTCTGATAAAATACTTACGGAACAAGAAAAAAAAATTCTCCCGATTGGAGCGGTTGAAACAGTCGTATATGGCACAGAATGTAGGCATTTTGACGCTGAATCAACAGAAGGAAATGGGGAACTGACTGAAAATTGTACCTAAATATCTAACATTAGGGTCAAATTTACACTCTGTAACGACCCCACTATGCTCTCCCCAACCAGCCCGTTGATACTGCTGCACTTTTAGTTCCTGTCAAGTCCTGTGTTCATGAAATTCGCCAAAGCCATGTGAAGACACATGACAGGAGATCACAGTATCATGCTTAAGAAAGACTGGTCACATTCAAGGTCATAGCTTAAACACGAGACCAACACGGGGAAGGATATTTTGAGATGGATCAACTTTGTGATGATTTAAACAGGTAGAGAATCAATAATAATCTTTATTTAGTTTAACAAATGTAGCACAGTGTGATGTGACAGACTTTACGTCTGCAAATAAATATTCAAGTTTGAGAATTGGACATCTTTCTAACAATTGGTGACCCGACGTAATGTAAATTCTTGACAACCATGTAAGTTACAAGTTAAAAGGTAGGTTTTGTAAATGTGGGTGTTTATAAGTTTTAGGTTTGTTGTTTTCATCTCTACAACTGAACCTTAATTTTTTTATCCTCCTACCTTCAGCGCCGTGGATCCCAGTTCCAGGCCCACCAGAATCGTCCTGTCGACCAGCTCTGCAACCTTGGGGTCRGCCACCTTCAGGGAGTCCTGGACGAGGTCCGTCACGTCCACCTGCCAGTCTGGTCCCAGCATGGTGATGACCTGATCGGTGCCCTCTGTGGACGTGGTGTGGAACTGGGTCAGCACCTTGACCTGGGCCCGCTGGTACTGGAGGGCGCAGCCGCGACTCATTCGGCGCTCATCGTCTTCGTCGTCTGCATCGCTGTCTCTGGTGCTCCTTAGTCAAAGAAAAAATAAAATAAAATGATTTAAAATACAAATCTGATAAATAATCCCACTCTGTGACATGATGTTAGATTTGCAGTCAAGCTGTCTGTTCTTCAGGGGTTTCCACTAAAGTTATAATTTAACATGATAATATTGAAAAACTCTTGGCACCACTCAGAAGAAATCAATCACAGTTTCTGTTTCGGTGGAGACGGAAGAAAAATCTCTTCAAGCCAGGAAAGAATCAACGATAATTGCCGTAAAGCGGAGTTCTGGACTGGTGCCCATCTAAAATCACAGGAGCCTCGGGCATCGGGGTCAAGCACGCCAGGTGCATCCTCCAGCAAGCACAATCTGCTCTGAATTGAAACGTATGAGTCTCCCACCTTCCCTAAACAGGCTTGACAATCTGCCAGCTCTTAAATATGTTTCTGCATCTAATTTTTGTTTTGATTGAACTGAAGGACTGAAAGTTCAGGAGCAGCAGAAACACTTTAAGGCTGAGATGTCCCACTTTTAATTAAAAGAACAAATATGAGGCTAAAGGACAAAAAGCACTGATCTGCAGACGTGGAGACACTTGGGACAGTGAGACATCGCAGATGTGATGAATATTAACACAGCAAGCAACTGTATAAAAAGACATTTTGTGGATTAATTTAAAACTTGTGTCAAACTTAAGGCCCACGGGGCAAAGATGGTCCACGAGAGCTTCAAAGATTGTATTATTGTTATAAAATAAACCATAAACTGCATCTCTCATAATGCATGTTGATTATTTCACCCATGCAATGACCGCATCCGACCACTAGGTGGAGCTACACAGTGTTCAAGCAGCTGGAATCCTCCGCGTAAAATCTTCGTTTTGCTGCATTTTTGATGACTACTTTAGCTGCGGCCCMGCAGTACTGGCAAATGGGAATTTCCCACTTACAAGCTGCTCATTTAAACCGAAAGCGGGAGAGTTCAGAATTCAAGATGGCAGCTAATCACCACAACAAAACAGTGAGTAAAACTCTCTTACTTTTACTTTTAATAGCGTTTCTGTTTTATTTATTTCACATTTAATCTGTTGTACATGTAATACTTTCCAGTGTTTATAAGAGAATGTGTTAAAACACTGTTTCTATGCAGGACAGACCAGGTAGAGCTCAGTGTTTCTTAGCAGTGCTCAGCTGCATCAACTAGATAAGAAATGTTACATTCCGTGTTTAGTTGAAGTTTYTTCAACCATGATGCTCATGTCGTCATCGGTGAAAATGAATTTGATGTTGTTGATTTAAAGGGACTGAAAAACTTAAAATGCGTAGCGTTTACTTTAAAACACCACCAAGATTAGTTCAAGCGGAAACTGATGAGAATAAAAAACTATTTTCTGTAAATTTTACTTCAAAGGAAGACAAAAGAAATATGATGCAGGAAAATGGTCCTCCTTCACAAGAAAAGCACAATCATATAATTACAGTGGCCTTTTGTTTAAAAACAAGTTTTGAAAGTAATTTGATCCTTTTTACCAAAACCCCCTCATCACCAGGTTTATTCAGCCTGAAGATTTATGAAAAACAAATGATCATAACAGACTGAACAAATAAAAACTGAAATGATGGAGGAGTAAAATCTAAATGACAAAAGGGGAAAGCTTTTTTTTTTAAAAAAAGTAAAATTTGACAATGAATTGTGAAACAACATCCTGATTTCTGCCGCGAAGCTCTTTTTCTACTTCAGCTCATGTCTTTGTTCTGACGGCTCACATTGCGGCCTCTGCAGCTTCAGGATGGCAGCTTGCTGTTTTATTTAGAAGGTTAACAAGTTAAGTAAAACTAAAACTGCACACTCAGCTTCTTGTTCATTTAAAGGCAGAAAACAACCTCAACAGGACTYGCACCGAGAGTTTACCAACTCGGCTCAGGTCAGTCGAAGTTTACTTTCCAGAGTGGGCACCTGGAAATAAGGATTTTTTTTCCTCCTCAGGAAGAATATTGTCCGGTCTCGTTAGAGTCTCTGCTACAAGCTGAAGCTTCAGTGCACACAGGCTGCCCACCCGATTACACTTTTCTTCTTTTTTAGAGCATGTTACAGGATAACGCAGCCAGTGAGCAATTCTGCTGCACCGCAGCAAAGGCCCACTGCAGGCCAGGAGCCGCCGCAGACCCCGGTTCAGAACGTGTCACTTTGTGGAAGAGAGGGAGCACAGGATGGAAAGATAAAAACAGAAAGGAAGAGAGGAGATTCAAGGAGGTCAGAGGAGAAAAGGAGTAAAGTCAAGACAAAGATAAACCGTTGAGCAATGGAGCGGAGTAAAAAAACAATAATTCAATTTAATAAAGCAAATAATCATTAAGATTAGATGTTACTAGAGCCAGGTTGGGTCAACAAACAAGTGATTACATCGTCTGAAGGACCTTCCTTTCTATCTTATGTCGGAGATTATTTACAGTWTTTGTGAGGTCTTTGTAAACATCATCTAATTCACTCGCAGCACATCATAATGACTGTAAATAACCAGAACCAAGGTGAACCCAAACACAGCCTGAAACTGCACATCRGAGCTGTTCACAGTGCAGAATTTACTCAAACATGGAAAAACCTGAGACTGTTTGTCCCATTTCAGCCTAAAAAAAAAACAAAACAAAACCCTCCCCACTTTTTTTTTTACATTCTTACAGATAGTCGTGTCACAATTTGTTCATGCGGTGTAAAAAAAACATGTCACAGTCTTATTTATCTAGGGCCAGGTCTAGACAATTTGAGGCCCTAGGTAAAATTTCAGGTGGTCTTGTGCAGTTTTCTAAATCTCACTTTTGATTTACACACRTTCACGTACCAAGTTAAATAGTTTTGTCTTTGGTGGTTTTTTTTTTCATCTTTATAAACCAGGTTGTCCAATTAACATAGAACAATAGAATTAATATGAAACAGAAAACCAGAAGTCTACCTCATGCTCGCCAAAATCTGCTGACATCATGAGGAACACCTGTTCATGTTAATCAGCAACTGTGGAGTGAAGCAGTTCTAGGGGTTCCAGCAGTTTACTCCTGTAGAAAATCTTGTAAATCATCCACATAAAACAACCATTCAAAGAGAATTCTGCTAAATTCATGGGATTACTATAACAAAAATAAAATCAATCAATCAATTTTTATTTATATAGCACTTTACACCATGACTACTGAACCAAAGTGTAGTTCCATTAGTTCAGTAAAAAAAGTACACTCATATGTAGATTACTGTGTGTTTTGTTCTTTGTTTTAACCTCACATTGTTATGCGTTATAGGTGATGTTTATRTTATTCTCTGCTCTTTGTTTTGTGTGATGCTTCTTGTTCTTACCTGCCTTAGGACAACAGATGAAAACTAACTGTTGTGCTCACTCCGGCATATTTACATTGATGCTTACTGCTGACATGTTGATTAATATGCATTGTCCTAATCAAAAAAACAAAAACAAAAAACAAAACCTTAGCTAGAAGTTGGTGTTGAAAACAGCTGCTTCTAACGAGCCGAAGTCTATATTTTACGAAGGTATTTTTTACATTTACACACTGCACACCAGTAGTTGAGTGGAACATAGATGGTCCAGTAAACCTTTATCAAAACAGAACAAACCCACACCAAATTACTGGTGAATCCTCAGTCTACTGGCTCCAACCCCACCTTCTTCAGGTCCACAGACTTAATGGAGCTGATTCACCCACTTCGGATGTTATCATCCATGAAATGGGTGTTATTAGACGTTATAAGTCCCCTAGAATGGCTTCAGAATGTCCCGCCTGTGCCGGTTAGCAGGTTCCCCGCCCCACAGAAAGGCTTCAGATTGTCATCTGGTTAATATGAGGTACAAAACCACTATCTGGTTAACATGAGGCATAAAAAAACGATTAATATGAGGCTTAAATCCACTAAGGTTAACTTTAGAGCAAATGACATGGTTAGTGCTAAAGACACCGCCCTCCAACGGTTGTATGTTGTGGCCTTCCAATAGGGCAATGGGTAGAGTGTTGGACCAGAGAGCGGGAGACCAGGGTTTGACACGGACACAAAAAATTTATTACAATATCTTTTGGTTATTTACACATTCATTGTCGTTGATACATTAACCCACTAGGGGGCACTGTCGGGACAGTCTGAAGCCTAGAAGGCAAAGTAGGGACCCTCTGAAGCCATTGTATGGAACTGATAAYGCCTAATAACATCCATTTAACATCAGAATCCCCTGGCTGATTCATAAGCATCTTTAGATCTTAACGTTTGCAGTCAGTTCTTGTGTTGAACAATAAAACACTTGATAAAACGTTTGTTTCCAAAATATGAAAAGGCAGACTGGATAGTTCAAGTGAATTTCCCCTCTTCTTAGTTTGTTTCTTCAAAGCCTGCATCGCTCCAATCCTTCCAGACAATTTGCTCTGCATATAATGTCCTCTCTCCCTTCATGACAACAGTAATCAAGGACCCCTTGTGAGACATTTTGGCTTGCGATGATTGCCAGGCAGCTAGTTCAGAGGAATCCCTACCACCACAGGTAAAACRTTCCTCTCTTGCATGCTGTCATTTCATTTTACTGGGAGAGTATTATAYGCTTTAGTTTTCGGAGGATTTCCTTGCCGCATAGAGAAGCTGCACCTAAAGGCAGCTCATCATTCTTAATGGTGCCACATACGGACTGCCGATGGTGATTTGAATGGCCTTCCCACAGAAAATCTGTGTTTTCAGTGATATTCTGCCAGCAACATTCATTTTATGTAACACTGCATGTTTTGTTTTCCAGCTGCCGGATGCAGACAACTTGTTACACATTCAGACGCAAACTGCTCCATGTTTTTAACCCTGAAATGGAATTGCCAATTTAATGAGTAAATATTTAAGAGCTGTTGAGCTGAACATATGCAGCATTGCACCCAAAGCTTGGAGGAAAAACATGCCATTTTACAGGAAGCAGATCAATTCCCGCTTATGTTTGCATTTCTTGATTGATGGAGTCAGTTGCATAAGTTTAGTTCTTTTGAACAGCCC